CCCTCAGATTGCGAGTCGAGTGCCTTAAGCATCTGGCCATGCCGGGCCACGGCCATAGCTCGGGCACGCTAAACACAAGATCACGCCTGGCCTTTATTATAAAATTGCCTAGTAAAAAACTAAATAAACTATACATAATTTATTATATAATAATCGAAATGATGACGCAAACTCACACCATTTATTCTGAGGTTATCTTCGTTATTATTATTTTTATTTATACGTTTTTTAAAGTTTGGATATTAACAGCGCATTTTATCTAATACTGAACGAAACGCTACAGATTCAGTACGTTGTGTCTGCTAATAATTATACTTTTTTTGCTTATATACCTAAACTAAAATTAAATATGATTTATTGACGAAAACTTTAAAAGGGAAAAGGAAATTACTAAATATTTTCATACTATATACTGATCATACTTCCTCTGTGCTTTGGGACTTGAGGTCTCCCAGCGGTAAGTCAAAATCCGAGGGTTAGATTCCCCGTGGTGGAAAGAGAGCAGATAGCTGTTGTATAGCTTTGCGCTAAAACAAACAAACAAATCACGTCTGGAGAAAAAAAAAAAGGTAAATTTTCATTATACGAAAAATGAAACAAATAACGCCATACATAAACGGCACAACTAAATGACATTTCGGATCTACCATAAAAAAAATCAGTACGAAACGAGAAAACAAAAGTAACAAATATAGATGGTATCAAGTTAAGTGTTAAACATTTACTTAAATAAATCAATACGAAACGAAAAAGCAAAAGTACCAAATACAGATGGTATCAAGTTAAGTGTTAAACATTTACTTAGATAAATATTGTTGTTTTACTATTGTTGGGCAGATTATTTTGGAAAATCCCCCACCCCCTCACCCCCCAAAAAAGAAAAAAAGCTAAATGTAAACGTCAGTCCCCTTAATGAGAACTAAATAGTTTTATTTTTTACAATTCAAGTTCTATACCTTACCGGTTTCACTCGTCAAGGATAGTCCAGAATTCATAAATGATGCTAAAGAGTCGCTTCCTACCAATTGTCCATCGTACATACAGTGCTTCTTGTATCTTCAATATTTTCGTGGAAGATAAGCTCAAAATGTTCTGTATAACTACCACTAATAAATCACAAATCTATTCTAA